GAGACAGGCATGCCCCACAGGTGGGGGGGTCCCCCCCAGCAAGCCTACACCCCCATTCCTCCCACCCCTCCTCCTACTGCGCCTTACTTGCTTGGTTCCAGTGGTGGTGAATGCTGATAAAACTGGCTGCGCCCCAAGCAGCTTGTGGGATGGGGGTTGAGAGTGCTGGCTGGTCCAGATTTAATCTGATTGCCAGTCACTGAGACCAGGTCTGTAAGTGCAAAGTCAGCACTGGAACAAACTATGTTTCAATCGGGCAGCCATTCTGAACCCAATATAACCTCCCCAAATGTCTGTTCTTAGCTTTAAGGGGTACTTTTACATGAGACTGGGCAAAATTAGCAATGGCTTGTGCCCTCTACCTTTTTTACACAGGTGTAATACTGATTGTGCAGTGTAAACACTTGGTCTGACCAAGCCCTTTGAGTCCGCAGCTGTCTTAAACACTTCCAATCTAAAGGCCTAGCCAAAAGCCCACTGACATAGAAAGACTAGAATTCAACCCAGATTGAACTCTACTCCCTTTCTAATAAAGTGCTACACAGTACAAGGAAGTAAAAAAAATAAATAAAAATCAGTAATTTGTAACCTTTCTACACAATTGCAAACAGCCATTACAAACAGTTACTCTGCCCAATGCTAGGATGATGGGCATTTTAGCAATGCATGTCATATTACAACAGTAACAAAAGTGATAAGAAATGAAAGATCCAAAGGGGATAATGAGAGGAAAAAAAAGTAAAAGTTGGAGGGATAAAGGAGGAAGAGAGTTATTTTAGCAGAAGAATGAAGTCTGATCAGAGATCTAAGTGTACAGTAAGCAGGAAGTACACCCACACTTGAGAGACGTGAAAAGTATTTGAACCAAGCTTTCAATGATTGTCAGAGTCTATGGGCACTTTTATGCATGCTCCAGGGTGGGAGGGGGGCAGCACTTTATATTAGATCAGCTCTGAGAGCTGTTCATCCACGTCTCGTGCATCAGTGTCCTGGTGCTTTAAAATGGTGGCGGGGGTGCTTGAACTGAAGCTTGTTCAACAAGCTTCAGTTCAAGCACCCTCACCACCATTTTTAAGCATGGGGACACTGATACACGAGATGCGAGAGGCTGCTGGAGTGTGATAATTGCCACAATCCGACACACTCAATCTATCGATTAATCGAATCTGCTCCAACGCACTGGAATTCCAGCACATCACAGCAGCCTCTGCGTTCGTGTCTAGGCACCCTACATTTCCTTTCATTTACCTACTGTTTACCCACAACTGAAAAGGAAAGTCCTTTGAAACTTTGGTGGCTAACAGCTGCAGGCAGAGATAGGATATTGGAAGCCTGTGTTCCCATTTTTGGGGCACATTTCACTGTGGTAGACTGTCACCAGAAACACTTTCTGCTAACCGCAAGTGTACATCTTGGTAAGAAAACATGATAACTAAGGTAGGAAATTGAGGTAAGTCTCTAGTAGCAGTGGGGCTTTGGTAAAGCTTTTGTTTTTCAGTGGGTGAAAACATTAAGGTAACGTAGGTCCTGTGAACAGTATAGGGCTAGATGCTCTACTGGTAGAAACCCAGGTAGAGCCACTAAACCTGAACTGATACCAATTTTCACGTTCTGGCAAGGTTTCTAATGCAGCGGGGGAAGCAAAGAAAAAAAATCTAATCTGAATCTCTTCTTAATCCCGTGATACAGACAAACCCACAAGATCACTGTGTTCCCTTCAGTTCCAGTGCAAACCAATAATGCTCAACAAGCTTGAAGAGGCACACTGCATCTGACAACACTGGACTTTAACTGCTTTTGCAACATCCTAAGAATTTCCACAGAAATGTGTACTAATATATTTTTATTATTAAAGAACATTTGGATCATTTTTCTTCCAACCTTAAACTCAATCAGAACCATGGCACTGCAAGAACACTAATGTGGGGTGGCTACACATATGTTCGATTTATCACTCTAAATTTGTTCATCCTTAAAGCAATAAAAACAGGCATTCTGGGAACTGGAAGGTATTGCATATCTGACTTCAAAGTCAAAAGGCCACAATGGGACAACACAGATAACAACATTTTGATTTGCTTCACCACATTTTTATTAAGTAGCTTAGCTGCATATTGCTAACAACTGTGTTTATTTCATTTTGAGAGAGTTAAAATGGAGCTCATGCTGGAAGATGCACCAATGCAGGGAATATTTACCCTAAGCATATCTTTATTTTTTGTATTAAAAAACACAAACGGCAGACTAGTACAGTTAAATAACCAAGTTAACAGATTTTTAAAGCCATAAGAGACAACTATGATCCTCTCCAGTTGACCTTCTCCAGAAGACTAGCCACAGAATTTCAACAAAGCATATTCAGCTTGTCTTTACCAGAAGAATGATTATACCAGCCCACAATTTTGGCCATGAGTGGTGCATGCCCCAGGCAGCTGGGGCGGGGCACGGCTGCACTGGCAGTGGTGGGAAAGCAGTGGCGGAAGCCCAGTGGCAGTAAGCTGGGAGCTCCCGCAGACGCCACTGGCACTGTCATGACACCTTTGTGCAGGGGGTGCACTGCCACACTCAGGGGGTGCACATACACCCGCATGCACCCCCTACATGTCACCCCTGATTTTGGCAACACTCTGAAGCTCCTGGAGCGGAATTTTATTTTCTGCAGGATGCCTTATACCTAAATTACAAATTAGGAGCCAGAAACACACCTGCCATTTATTTATTTATTCTCTCTCTCATGTATTTTTGAATACAAGAAATAAAGACATACCTAGGTCAAATATTCCCTGCATTTGTGGAGATATTGATATCTAGATATAGTACACATATTGTACACAGTGCTGATCTGCTGATCACATGGAACCAGGAACGATTCATCCCATCAGGCAGGAAGATGAGCTGTTAGGTCATTTTCCTATCCAGCTTCTGTTATGTTTTGGGGAAGCCCTGTAACACATTAATCAAAGGCACTGCAAAATGAAGGAAGAGACACTGACAAAACAAATCCTTCTGTTGGAGCCAAACCACGGAAATACTGTCAGTTAGTACATCATTGTTTAGGCTCTTTTGTGTTTGCCAATAATTGGCCCAGGCAACAGCAGTTTCCTTTGCAATAGGGGTACACCAATAGAGATTTTGGGGGCCGATACCAATATTTAAGGAGGCATATCGTCCAATATCAATCCAAGATATCCAATACAGCTGCCATCAGGTGGTAAGCCTGGGGTGGTGGAAGGGGTGGGGGCAGATCAACACCCCCCAGGATGAGGGAGGGGACAGGTGCTGCCCAGCCGGGGGGAATGGGGGAGGGGCATGATGGAAGTGCAACTCGTGGGGTGGGGGCAGCTCCTGCTGCTGCTTGCACCCGGGGGGGGTAGGAGCAGGGGGGCATGTGCCCTCAGATCTGCATGGCATGGGGCTGGCTGCAGCTGTGGGGTGAAGCTGGAGCCGGTGCTGCATGGGGCTTTTCTTGCCAGGG